GCATTTTGTTCATATGTAAACTATCCGAAAGAAAGAGAAAAATCATACTCACACTTTCAGAAAACGTTTTTCTTATCAAAATATGTTTTTATCTTCGGTTTTCTTTTTCTAAGTCAATGAACAAAAGTAGGCGAAAAATAAAATTATTTTATCTCTCTATCTTTAGGCGCAAAACTTATGCTGTGGAAATGTCTCTGGAGAAAATACAAAGATTTTTTTAAAATTTATTGATAAGATATCAGTTGGTTTAATCCATAATATCTTTTCTAAATAGTTATCCAATATTCTAGACGTTGTTTACATTTTTGAAGAGGCATTTTAATCAGAACATGCTATCAAATAATACCTCACATACGGACATTTTGTTTTTCTTCAAGCACGATTACGAATGTTATGAGTCTTTGTTGTAAATCTCTGTTAGTCTGATTAGATAAAATTTTCTTGAGTTGCTAGAAATGCACACTATATGTTTCGCAACAAAATAAGGTGTAGCGAGGTATATATGATATCTGATTGCGGTACTGTACTCAACAAATTCCTAATTGAGTCTAATAGAGCATGCGCCTAGACTTGATAGAAGACATTACTAAGTTAGAATAGAGACGGAATGGGGAATTAAAGAATGTTCAGAGATCTACAACGTCCTGTTTCTCAAGAAAATGTTTATTCTAGATTCTAGAAAAAAAAATGTTCGTCTCACCTTTGTTTCGTTCACGTTTTTTCTAAAAGTCGAAAAACCCAAGCTGAGGCTTCTACCATTGCTAAACATAACTGATGTCCTTGCAATAAGTGGATATGAGCTTCATTGCATGAATTTCTCTCATCGTGTAAGCTTTGCAAGAAATATATATTTGTTCCATCTGTAGTAATACATATCTTCAGGAGAAAAAATAGTATATGTTTATCTTTTAAGAAGATGAAAATAAAGAGAAAGAAAAAATATTTGTGTACTGCACCTTTTGAGTCATATTACTCATTTTAAAAGAAATAAAAAGATAATTTAACGTGGATTACACAAGAATTACTTCTTCTACACAAAAACACAACTAATTCACTGGGTACGTATACCAAACACTGGGTTACGTTTTTCTGACTATTTTGTTAACAAAAGTTTATTATGTATTGAAACTTTGTTAGTGGATTTGAAAGAGTATATCAGTTTGCACTTTTTGATATTAATCCAAATTCATCGGTGGACGATGTTCGAAAAGCGCACAAGAGAAAAGCATTACAACATCATCCGGATAAAAATCTAGATAATTCAAATGGTAGAGATCACTTTCAGCAGATACAGAAAGCATACGAAATGTTATCAAAAGATGAAGAAAGTGGTAGACAAGTTAACTATGATAGTGATGATAGTAATGACGATTTTAGTTTTGAAGATGGTACAAATTTTTCAAATGAATATTGTTCAAAAATTAAAGAATGGATCGAAGAGTATAATAACAATCTTATTATAGAAGATAATTTTACAGAGGAATTAATAATAATTACTAGTGATCTGATGACAAAATTCGATCAATTGGAACAAGTGTCGACTAAATATATTGAATGTAATGTGTGTCGTCAAACATTTTGAATGCGAATAATCATAGAGCAGTTTTGAGGTAATATATAGTCTTCAATTTTTCTTTCATTTCTTCTCTCTGTTTATTCGAGAGAGTGAAAGCCCCCACTAGCTGGGACGTGTACAACACGTCCGTTGAACAGTGTAAGCGATGACTCACACCGTTAAGAATTTGAGAAGAGCAACTTCTTATTTTTCATTTTCTGTAGTATCGTATTTAAAGTGCTCCTGTCGTGAAACAAAACGGTGAATATATATGCACACAGAAAAGAAAGAAAAAAAAAGAAAGTGCACATCACAGGATCCGTCAATTTCCGGTCGCGGGGAATAAACGGATCCGACTGGTTCCGGAAATCGGATCCTCCAGGAACCAAATATCGAAGTAATTGAGCAGATTCTTTTCTCCGGATCCGATCTCTGGAAATCACCGGAATTAAAAGGATCCGATCGGGCGAATTCGACCTGGACAATCACGAACAAAAAAAAAAAAAAAATTATAAAAGGGAAAACGCGGACAAAAACATAAATTACTATCATCACTACTGTCGTCATGCTTGAATGATCATTACAGCAAGAAGCAGTATAAAAACCAGTGTCCTCTATGTGTTTCTCTTCGCATTTTGTTTTTGTTTTCGTCCACCGGTCAAACGGCCACATACTGCTGCAATCGACTCGATGTTATCAGTAGTTACGTTTTTTTGGTAAATCGATCGTATTTCAACGGTCTCATCAATTTGAAAATGTAGACGCATCCAGAACAGGAGTTCGCGAATGTTTTTATCATAGAACCTCGGCTATAGGAAAATCCACTTACAACTAAGGCCATGTGTGGATTTTTATTTAGTAAAAGATACTGCTGAACATTTCGAAATGTACAAAAAATAGTAAAACATATTAGCTTCATTTCTTAATACAAGGGTTCTCTTTCGATATCTTAAATATCTAAGGTCCAATTTCGCTGCAGCTATTGGCAAGAATAGATACTGTCGTCGACTTTATAACTTGTGTATAGCACAATTGCAGTCTTATTTTAAGATTTGTTGCGAGATATTTTTCTTTTTGTACTTATTTTACATTTTTTAATAATCTACGAACGATCACTAGATTGAATTAAAACAAATTATTTTCCATGATTTACATTATAATAAAGTACAGCACCAACTGCCATGGGTATTGTAGATGCTGGAAAGCAGAATTCTCTTCCTGGCCATACATAAATTATAAAAAAAAACATTATAAAACCATTAAGTATGAACATACTAAATAACATCGCTAAGTAACATTGAACTAATAGATAAAAGTTGTTTTGAGTAAGTACTTTTAACATGAAATAATTGTAGCATATAAAATCACCAATACCAAGTACATAACCATTCTCACCATAGGGATATACCATAC